CACCACCACCATCACCACCACCACCACCATCATTAAAGTCCCATTGCTGCCGCCCTGCTCTCTGGGGGCATCTGACCTCAGGGAGTTTGGAGAAAGGGCTTGGAGAAACCCCTGTTTGTGTTTGGGGGAACTAGTGGGTGTCGACAAATAATCATCACTGTGCCTTTGGTTCAGATGTGCACTCTCCCTCAAAAAATAACTCAGAAGATGAGGACAAGTCAGGATCCAACATCTCGAACTTTCTGCGATGCCTGGTGGCCCCAGTGCTGCCCAACCTGACCTGCCGCCGAGCCTACCCTGGCCAAATCTACAGCAGCATGATGTGCCTGGGCTTCCTGCAGGGCGGGAAGGACTCCTGCAAGGTGGGTGCCTGTGACCCCGCCGGCTCTGGGTCCACAGGACAGGGCAGCCCTGACATTCTCTCCTCTCACTGCAGGGCGACTCGGGGGGCCCCGTGGTCTGCAATGGCTATGTGCATGGCATTGTTTCCTGGGGTGAAGGCTGTGCCCGGAAAGGCAAACCTGGCGTCTACACCCAAGTCTGCAGATACCTCTCTTGGATCCGCAAGACCATGGCGGCCAACTGAGGCCCCTCCAACACTCCAGTCCAGGCTGGGCCTGGAGCCCAGGGTGACCAGGTGTGGACTTTGGAGGGGCTTGTAATTCTCCTATAGAGGTGTCAATAAAATTCCTCCATGAAAACTACTGTCAGCCTTCAAAATTCGATTTAGCAGAACTGATCAGGTGGCTCCGAGCCCGGGCACAGGCCCGTTTCATCCTGGTCCTTGCTCACAGCACTGTTCAGTTTGTTCACTTCACTTTTTTTGTTTGTTTGTGTATTTTAAGATTTATTTATTTATTCATACAGAACTGGGGTCCAGGCCAGAGATGCAGAGGGTGAGAGAATTCACCAGGGACAGAGTGGGGAGCAGAACAGGCAGATCAACCAAGTACACTGCTGAGGGGAGAAGTGGGCGGGTCAGGAGAGGTCTGCCGCGCTATGTACCATGTGGATCTCCTCCGGGGCAGGCGGGGATCGAACTCGTGCGGAAGTGGATTAAGCTTCTTTTGCAGTGCATTAACCCGTTGCGCCACCAGGGAGGGCCCCACTTCCCTTTATTTTGAAAGGAAATTTCTTGGGTCACCTTTTTTTTAAGGGAATGGAATTACTTAAAAATTTCCATGCCTGTCAGCGAGGTCAAAAGCCGCTAGACCTCAGCAGCTAGTGACGTATTAACCGGGAAAGTGGCCAGAAAAGTTGCAGAGAAAGAGAACAGATTCTGGGCAAGAAAAAAAGGAGAAAAACATGGCTTTCAAGGCTGGTGACTTGCTTATGCAAATACAGATGTCAAGATAGTTGTGTCCCAGGCAAGCCCCACCAGGCACCAGTTTCTGCTGTCCCACAAGGCCACTGAGTTGGGCACGTGGGAGAGACCACACATCCATGTTAGTTAAGCGCAGACCCATCTGGCCACATTGCTGACATCAGGGGCAGACCCTCCGCCCCAGCTCACGCCCCGGGCAGGGATGAGGGCACTGTCCAGGGCTCCTGACTCCTTCTCTGGAGGGGGCTGAGGAAGGCCCCGCTCCAGTGGCCACTCAGTTGATGGTAATGAGCACTCATAGATTTACTGAGAATGGATGTTTTGCTCCTAAGATGCAGACAAGCACCTGCTTGTTAAGTCTGGAAATTTTCAACCCAGTTCTGCAAGGAGACGGGACCTTGTAGTTTCAGCCCAGGACCAGGCAGGACCTTCAGGGCTGCTCTTTCCCTCTGCATAATGGCGGACAAGCGCGCATGCTCCGAGATGCTTCCCGAGGACCTGCCGCTCCCGCTGGCGCGGGCACGTTCCGCTAGACCCGTTCCCTTAGGATACGGTGACCCACTCATGTCCACTCATGTCTGCTCTGCGCCACCCCCTCGCGGCATCCGGCCACCACCACGGGCGAGCCTTGGTTTTCCCCACCCTCCTTTGGTCCCACCACCTGCCCAGTTAGCAGATTCTTCACTAGCGTCTTCCACGCGAGCTTAGTCAGTGCGTTGGGGATCGTTTTCATGTAAGGAGCTATTGAGTTAAGTATCCTGTGCTCATTTTAATGTGATCAGATAAAACTTCACTGACGGGCCCTCCCTGGTGGCTCAGCAGGTTAAAGCACTGCACTAAGAAGCTAAAGACACTTCAGCATGAGTTCGATCCTGCCCCAGAGGTGACCCACATGGCGAGGCAGACCTGTCCTGACCCTCCCGCTGCTCCCCTCAGCAGTGTGCTTAGTCTGTCGGCCTGTTCTGCTCCCCACTCTGTTTCTGCTGAATCTTCTCACCACCCATGCACCTCTGGCCTGTACCCCATTTCTGTATGCATAAATAAATAAATAAATCTTTAAAAAAAAACTTCACTGAAACTCAAGGGGAAAATCTATTTAAAAATCACATTATAAGCACACGCACCTTTGTGAGTTACAGGCGTTACAGGGGAGACACTGAAGACGGAAGGCATCACCTGGCATTTCCCCCAAACCCCAAGACCCTGCCAGGCAGGCCCAGCTTCCTTGGTCACAGGTATTTATTTGGGGAATTTGCAGTTGAGCCTGGTCCCCTCCCTGTATCTGGGGCTCTCGCTTTCCCCCTTCTGCAAAGAATGGGTGCAAGTGAGGAAGCCCAAGGCCTGCCAGAGAGAGCTCCCTAGGACAGGAGCCAAGCCTCATGATGAGCTCTGCCCTGGATGCTGTTTTTCCTGGGGGCCAAGCTCTCAGATGAGGTTCATGGGAAGTATCAGGGGTGACAGAATCAGACAACATCCAGCACCTCCTCAAGGGGGTGTCAGCCCCTTCCCACCATGGGCCCCACCTGTCCCCTTCTCAAAGCTTCTGATCTCCAGGGATCTATGAAAGGCAGTTCTGGGGTGCCAGCCACATAGAAGATAAGGGGCCAAGGTTCATCCTGTCCCCAAGCTCAATGTACTGTCCAACTGCCACAGCTGGAGAAACTCCTCTACCCATTCCCACCCTCAGTAATCTCAGCCAGGAGGACTTTGATCCTCAGGAGACATTGGCAAAACTTGGAGATGTTTTCTGATTGTCCTAACTGGGAGGAGACGAGAGTGCACTTGTCACTAGTGGCTGGGGTGTTGATAAACAGCCTACTGGGTGCAAGGGAGTCCCTACAATAAAGATTTATCTGGCCTCAAGTGGCAACAATGCCAGGGTTGAGAAGCAGTCCTCTCTAGTAAATCATCTTCATATTTGCAGAAGTTCGAAGGGGAAAAATACAGGAACTGGTCCGGAGGGCTGACTACTGAAGCAGAATACCCAACTGCTAGGCCGCTCGGGTGTGCTGTTCCGGTGGGCACCTGGCTGCAGCCAATGGGCACATTCTCATAGAGAGCCACTTATTCCGGGTCGTTCTGCCATTAATTGTGACAATTGAAATGCCACAGGAGCCCACTTCTGGGATTAGTCAGACTTGCACACGCTCCTTGGAGCCAGCCCTTACTTGGTACAGTTCAGATTGTTCTCCTGGACTATGTGTATGGCCTGGGCCTGATTATCATTTTTACCTGATTTGATCTACTGTCATTTTCAATCAGAATATTTTTCCCCTCTCAACAGACTATGCATTTCCTCTGAATAATGAAAGTTAACATGGGCATTTAAGACCAGAACTCAAGACAAGTTATAGGAGCGTGGAAGAGCCAATGTCAATGCAAGCTCAATGGTGCAGGCTCATGATGGACTTGGGACAAAACTTTACCATCAAGATGGCCAAGTGGCTGATGTTTCTGACTGGGAACCAGGACACCTGTCACCCTGTTCTGTGACCTTTATCCATAACATTCTGTTATGGGAAATAGTTATCACCAGGTGGGCCCAGGACTTCTGTTCCCATAACATTTAGGAAAAGTGAGCAAAGGTGAATGTTTAAACTTGATGCTGAATTATCTTCTGTTTGGCACAGAACTGAATTCTAACTTTGGATTCATGAATTTCCCATGAAATCACTTTCTGGCACCTGTGGCCATGGGTGTCTCCAGGTGTAAATACCTGTGGATGAATCGCATAGTCCTACCAACCCACTGGCAACCATGAAGACCCTCATCTTCCTCGCTCTGCTGGGAGCTGCTGGTAAGTCTTTGCTATTAAGAATATAAGAAAGTTACTAAGAAATAGATCTTAAATCACAGGAAGAAAAAAACCTTCTTGTTATATGTCAGGTGGCAGATGTTAACTAGATTTATTTTTGTGGTGTTCATTTTGCAATGTATATAACTATTGAATCGTTACGTTCCATATCCAGAATTAATGTAATCTGTCAATTACATCTAGAAAATAAGTATCTGTTATGTATACAAATTGCAATTTTATACTGGAAGATAAAAATGAATAAGGATTATCATCTCTCTGCTCAAGAAGCTTAGCTGATGAAAGAGTAGTAGTGTATAGTTCATTTTTATAGATAATCAAATTTCATTTATTGAGTATAATCGTTGTGGGCAAAATGATCAGGGTAGAAGTTTCCTAAGAGACAGGATGTTTGCCACAAACATTAAGGTCAAATCTATGGAGAAGGAGAGACAGGGGTAGTGAACATTAAAGCAGTGTTTGTTTTGACCTTCCTAAGAGCGTATGGCTAATGATTGGGGTTCAGGCCAGCTCTATGCCCCTGTGTTATGTCCTCTGTGGTTATCAGTGTGGGGTCCCCTGTTAATCAAGGGCCAAGGGACCTGAAGACAGGGACAGTTTATTTCTCATGAATACATGCTATGAGCTGAGTTTAACATTTTTGCTAATGAAATCTCTATAGTGTAAAAGAATGTCATTCAACCATGAAAAACATGGAGAAGTGGCCATCTCTATTTTTATACTACTAAAGCATATACTACTAAACTTCTTCAAATTAAGCAGGTAGACATTAAAAACACCTGTCTCTGTACCTGGAAATGTCTTTCCCAAAAATTACTTTAAAATAAATAATAGGGCATATCATAATATGGTCTGTCTTTTAGAGAAAGCAAGCTCACTATTAGTGGCTCAGACTTCACAGCTTATGTAAATTGGAAGTGCTGGAAAGATCCCTGAGAAGAGGAGAAAGTTTGGAGAGAAAAATCTTATAATGGTCGATGAAATTATTTTATGAAAATTTTAAGTGAGAACCAAAAGAGAAAATGGAGGGACAAAGTAGAGAACCCCAATTTCTTCCCAGGCCAGAACATTCTCAAGTAGACTCTAGAAGCTTCCTTGCTTTTATACCATACCATATCTTTCCTTTACTAACGGTAAGAAGAACAACAACAGCAACAACAAAACCCAATGGTCTTGAAAATAGGTTGAGCACGTATTTGTATGTTTGCTGAGTGGGGTTTTGTATGAAAAATATCCTTTACATCCTCAGAGAGTAATGGTTAGGGCCTTTATTGTAAAGAATCTCTGACCCACATGGATGTGAGTGTGTGTATATAGTCACATGTTTATCACACTTAAAGAATACCTCAGCTATGCCTAATGGTATATGTTTGCTATGTGTTAAAGCTGTAAAATAACAAAGTCTTGAAAAATAATGGCCTTAAAGATGGTCCCTGATTGTGTGTGTCAAGAGAGCTTTGCTCTTTTCTGGTTGATCGGTAATAATTGGTGGTGAGTAGAATTCCAAGGTGGATTTGTTTCACAGAAGGTTTCCAACTTTTCTCTTGCCAGTGGCCTTCCCCACTAACGACGACGACAAGATCGTCGGGGGCTATACCTGCGCCCAGAACTCCATCCCCTACCAGGTGTCCCTGAACGCCGGCTACCACTTCTGCGGGGGCTCCCTCATCAACGACCAGTGGGTGGTGTCCGCTGCTCACTGCTACAAGTCGTAAGTGACCAATCTCCACATCTCTGTTCTCCAAGTGGAGCTCACTCCCCATCCTGCCATGGCACGTGGGCACATAGTCATGCCAAGGGATGAGCATTCCCACTGGAAGAGCTTCATTCCCCTAAAAGCATTCTAGGGCTTTCTCATGGGGACATGGGAGGGGTCGGGAGGGAAGTACCCCTAGGCCTAGTTCAAAAGCATTAATCAGTGAATTGTCCTAAACAACTCAACCAGAGAAAAAAATCATTTCTAGTACAAGATTAAAAATAAGCATAACTATTCTGCTTCCTTCATATCCTACATCTCCAACTCCAGCCTTCTCCCCCTGCTGTCCCCGGTGAACGTACCAAAGGAGAGAGGGCAGGTGCTGGTCAGTTGCCGCCAGTTTTCCTTCAACTCTCATAGCTTTATTGGGGTCATTTGGTTCCCGTCCTTTTGCCTTACTATTCAAACAAGATGGCCGCTGAAGAGTACGCAGAGTGTGAGCTCTCCCTGAGGGGCACTGTAGCACTGCCTTCAGTAAGGACTGTGCTCTCACAGGTGCGTGAACACACAAAAGAGGATGCCTTTCCCAGTGATGCCATGCCTGGGGCTTGCCGATAAAGGGAAGAAGCCCAAGTTAGATACTTAGGGAACCTTCATCTATTCATTTAGCCGTATCGAGGTGCGTCTGGGAGAACATAACATCAAGGTCACTGAGGGCAATGAGCAGTTCATCAACGCTACCAAGATCATCCGCCACACCCAGTACAACAGTGCCACCATCGATAACGACATCATGCTGATCAAGCTGAACACCCCTGCCACCATCAGCAGCCGAGTGTCCACCGTCTCTCTGCCACGCTCCTGTGCTCCCGCTGGCACTCAGTGTCTTATCTCTGGCTGGGGCAACACCATGAGCAATGGCTGTAAGTGTCACCGTATTTGAGAACCCAGGAAGGGAAAGGCAGATTGAAGATCAATTGTCCAGAGTGTCACTTACAGCAGGATTCCCAGAGAATAGTTTCTGCATTTGTGGATTCTACGCATACACTCATTTAAGCAAGGAAGATTCTTTTGCTGAGAAGCACAAAAATGAAGTAGGATGAAGATTCCAGACTATTCAGCTGAAGTGTAATCAGAGATTTGCAGAGAACTAGAAACTGAGGCTGAAGGGTTTGCTGCCCATGCTTATTTTTACATTATAATGACATTATTTGAGAAATGAAGTCTCTAGATTTAAAATATCTAAGAGAGCAGGTGTCAAAGAGAGAACCAGTTGTTGGTTAGATTAGTCATGGGTTTGGAAGAGCTTCCATATATAAAATGTGTTCTCCCAAGCTACAGGCTACTGTCAAATCCAAAAGAAAGAATAGGGAATGAGGGGAAGAATATTGAAAAAAGTTTGCAGGAATCCAGTGGGTAAACTTCCACTTGCATCCTGCAGACAACTACCCTGAGCTCCTGCAATGCCTGGACGCTCCCATCCTCTCTGACTCTGCCTGCCGCAAGGCCTACCCCAACCAGATCAGCAACAACATGATCTGCCTGGGCTTCCTGGAGGGCGGGAAGGACTCCTGCCAGGTGAGTTTCTTCACCTTCCTCCTTCCAGCTCCGTCTCAGGCATCCTCACCAGAAGTCTCCTTTCCTAAAACACAGGAGATTGAAAATCTGTCTTTGGAATGAATTATAAAGCATGAAGGAAAGTTTGGGGATTATATATATATATATGTATGTATGTATGTATGTATATTGTGATATTAATGGTTAAGGGTAAAAAAGACACAGAAGATGGTGTACAAGCAGTATAGTTAGACACCCTTGCAAGGAGGCATGTTGCAGAAGGAAACTCTTGGAGGGGAAAGAAGCTAGGCCAGTCAGGCTTCAGTCCACTCATCAGTGTTGATGCCTTCTAGGTCCAACAGGTCTGCAAACTGGTTCCTCAGGAGGAACCAGAGGAGGGGGGAGAAAGGACAGGAATGAAGTATGGAGGTTGAGTGCTGGGAATCAGGGGAAGATGCCGTGGTCTGGAGAGGCTCAGTGGCCAGGAAGGTGGCCCCAGGGGCCTGGAGAAGCAGCTTGGAGTCTCCTGTCTGGGTAGAGTTGAGAGCTCTGTCTCTTCCCTTTTTCTCAGGGTGACTCTGGCAGCCCCGTGGTCTGCAACGGAGAACTCCAGGGCATTGTCTCCTGGGGCTACGGCTGTGCCCAGAAGGGCAAGCCCGGTGTCTACACCAAAGTCTGCAACTACGTGGACTGGATCCAGCAGACCATGGCTTCCAACTAAGCACCTTGACCTTTTTATGACCCTTCCCCTGTTAGTCAAGTTCACCTTTCTATACCTGAAAAAAAATATCGAAATAAAAACATTGTCTCCTATACCCAATGTGTGCAAGGCCTGTTTTCTATTTATGACCTTTTCCTTGAAGCTGACTGATAGGAGAGTAGACATAGAGTTGAACTATTATATGGAGATTGAATTTCAAAGATTATTCTTCGGGTCTCCCTGGTGGCGTAAGAGGTTAAGTCTCAGCACTATGAAGCTTTCCTCAGCCAGTGCAGCAGGAGTTCAATCCCCGGCCAGGGAGCTGAACCGCATGGCACAGCAGACCTCTCCTGTCTCCCCGCTGCTCCCCTCAGCAGTGTTCTGCTCCTATTCTGTCTCTGGTGAACCCTCTCACCCCCCTCCCACACCTCTGGCCTGCACCCCAGTTCTTATGTGCACAGGAAATAAATTGTTAAAAAAAAATTATTCCTCAACCCAATCAAAATTGTAACTAATCATCTATGTACTGCAGGCTCTATGTGGAGCACTGAGGATAAAAGGGAAAAGAAGTTTAAGGGCCTCTCAGCAGATAAGACTGTAAATTGCTGCACATTAGAATCTAGTACTCAGAGTTATTCAACTCATTCATGGAAAGACAGAGAGGAAGCCCACGCTGTCCACATTCCCAAGCCTGGTGACTGATGCGTGTTCCTTTCCCCTTTTCCTCTGAGTTCCATGAATCTTCGTGAGGGTTAAATGAGGGAAACCTCATGGTGACTGTCTTAAAAGTCAGAGATTCTGGGCCCTCCCTGGTGGCACAATGGGTTAGGACGCAGCACTGCAAGCTGGCCGTAGCCATCTCAGTGCGAGTTCGATCCCCACCTGCCCCGGAGGTGACCACATGGCGTGGCAGACCTCTCCTGACCCGCCCGCTGCTCCCCTCAGCAGTGTACTTTGTCGATCTGCCTGTTCTGCTCCCCACTCTGTCTCTGGTGAAGTCTCTCGCCACCCGGGCACCTCTGGCCTTTACCATAGTTCTGTATGCATAAATAAATAAAACTTAAAAAAAAAAAGCCAGGATTCTCTGTATTTTCCAAGATTTAACATTCTACTTCTCCAAGTCCTGTCTGCTTTCATCTGGGACTTCACCGCACAGCAGTCACCTAGTCTATCCTCAGGGGCTCTCCTGCCATCAGCACCTAAGTCCCAGTCTAAGGTCTTGAAGGTGTTGACGCAACAGTGCTCAGGGAGATCTGAAACCTGCCGCTCAGTAAATCTTACTCTGCAGTTTCAGAAGGAAGGAACATGTTCCAGAGCCATCCTCACTTCAGAAGAAGCCACTTCCGGGAACACGGCTGGGCCCAACATCCTGTGAGCCTGGAGTGTACTGAAGGTGTGCTCCCATTTAGTGCCCGGAACTCAGTTCTCACCCTGCAGCATCAAAAATGTAATGACGGTAGTAAAAAATGACATTTATTAAGGATTTTCTTTGTGCCTCTGTAAGTGTATGTGTTTTTCAGTTGTATTTCATCCTCACAACTCTCCGATGGGGAAGGAACTCCTAGTGTGCTCATCTCAGAGCCCAGGACTCCGAGGCTTAAAGAGTTTGGTGTTTTTCTCAGTCAAAGGCAGCTAGTAAATCCTGAAACCAGGAACAGGACTCTTGTGATTTGTTTCCAGAGTCCACTGTCTTTACTGTCATGTTAATAAACATTAAAATGTCACCAAGATTTTAAGAGCTTCACAGAAACATTTAAACATTAAAGTAAAAAGGTGTTCTCAGAAATCTGATAAATATGAGGAGCCTTGGGTTACCATTATTTTATTTCACCAGCATTATATAGCATTTACTATTTCCCATTAAAACTCACTGTTCTAAGCACTTTAAAATGGAAAATCTGAACAGGCCAGTAAGAAGTAAAGAAAGTGAATGAATAATTTAAAAGTCCCAATATGGAAAACCCCAGAACCAGATGATTTCACTGGCAAATCCTAGCAAACGTCTGGTAAAGAATTAACCCAATCCTTCTCAAACACTTACCCAAAATCGAAGAGGAGGAAGCCCTTTGAAACTCATTCTCCGAGAAAGCAAGACGTTGTCGAAGACAAAAACTGAATGAGTAAGCAGATGGATTTTAACCAGACTGTTGCAATAATACCCAAAGATAGGAGTCTTAAGAGGACAGCTGTGCCTTCGACTCTTATAGAGACAAATAGCCAAGTCACAGATGGGAAACTTATGTGGAGGCTGTTTTTGCCATACAGGGAATTCAGAAGTAGTCAGCAGGACAGGAAGTGTTGATCTCTTTGTTTGGCTAGTTTCAGTGGGGAGCAGTCTAAGCTCAGCTAATCGTCCATCCAGGAGACAGAATGGGGAATTGGCGATCTGGGCCTGACCACATCAGGTGCAGGTGAACGGAGAAAGGTCAGTGTTTGACCTTGTAACAGGCAAGCAAGGGAGATGTGTTGGGTCTTGTGGGAGAGTCTTCTCTAGCACACATGGGGAGGGGTAATTCTTTGCATAAGCGATTTCCCAGAATATAGCAATTGCAGTTTTGTTTTGAAGGACTCAGGAGATGTTCAGCATGTCAGAGACAATCTGTGGATCTAATCCTTCTGACTTATCTTGCTTGTGTTATCCCCAGATGTCCTGTATTGGTACGAATGGTAAGAGTTCGTTTTTCATTTTTCATAGCCGTGTAGTATTCCACTGAGTCTATATACCATACTGTCCTAATCCACTCCTCTCTCCTTGAGCATTTAGGTTGTTTCCCTAACTTGCCCATAGTAAGTAAGTTTGAAATGAACATAGGAGTGCAGAGATGCCTTCAGATTAATGTTCTTGTATTCTATCCTAGGAGGAGAAAGACAAATACCGGATGGTGTCACACACATGTGTTATATAGAGAAACAAAACAAAGAGCCAGATAAAACAAAACCAGTAACAAACTGTAGAAATGTGACTGTAGAACTGAGGCCACCATTGGGAAGAGGGGAGCAGAGTGATGTGGGAAGGGAACACAATGGACCATGGCAGACATCAGAAGGGGGTGAGCCAGTATCTCTGACTCCTGCACTGTGTGGTCAGCCATGTTACCTCAATTAAATAGAAAAGATTTGGACTTAGTTCCAAGTCTTGACATTCCACTAACTTCCATGAAAACCACAGATTCCTTGTCTCTAAGGTGACCCCAGGGCCGGGGGTGGGAGAGGATGGTTTATTGCACGTCTTTCCTGGCCCAGTGGGGTATGAGTCTCTGGGCATGACCGAGGGGCTGGAAGAAGGAAAATGGCCAGTGAAGGCAGGTGACCGTTCAGTCACAAAGGGAGGGGAGGGGAAGCTATGTCACAGAAGGGGACCAAATGTCAGCAGCTATGTAAGGGCAAGCGGGTGACCTGGAGGGCCAGGGAAGGGGCAGCAGGGATTGGATGCTCTACTGCTTCTCTCACTCACTCCAGCGATAACGCCCAGGTTGGCTACAGAACGGGGTCTGAAGAAGGCCTCATTTGAAGACTTCTCCAAGATCCTGCATCTCCCCTCCACCCCCAGTTAACATTTTTCCTGAGTTGTTCTTGATAAGAACACTTGGGCTGAAGACAGCGACAGTCCACAGTGTGCACTCTGCCTGTTCCTGGCCAGTCATAGCCCATCATGAAGTGGGGTCTTCTGTATGCCCTCATGGGTGCGGCTGGTAAGAGTCAGGGCCTTGTGGCTGCCCAGGGAGACAGGGCGGTGGGGGGAGGGCCGGGCACAGAAACTGCCACCTGCAGGACACGGCAGGCGTTTTAGCAACAGCTAACTTTTGGAGAAACCAAAGGAACCTCTCTCCCCGCTCAGTCACCCCACCAGCGAGCCTACTCTGCAAGACCTGCTGGGAGAAGTGGGGACCCCACGGTGCCTACCAGCTCTCTTGGACCCTGGTGTGTGACTTCCTAGGCTGGCCCTGCCCTTCTCCGGGCGTGGACTTCCTAAGGAGGCACCCAGGGGAGAGACGTGGCTGGGCAGGGACTCTGGAAGCCCCAGGACCCCACACCTCGCGTTTCCATCCCGTTCACCACCAAAGACAGGCAGTATTTAAACATTTCCTCCCACGTTTGGCAAAAGATAACTTAAAAAATAACTTTCTTAACAGAATGCTCCTTTGTATCACTCAATACTGCAGCGTTTCTGGTCAGCTGGAGCCCACATGCCAAACGTCACAGAACCTTAATATGCTCAAGGGACATGTGTTGCTTTCCTAGTGTGTGTAGCTTTCTTGGGTCACAAGCCTGATATCGTCTGTTTATTAAACATATTTAAAATCATTTGAAGACTTTAGTATCAAAAACCTTTTTTAAAAAAACTTTAAAAAAATCTTAGGCTGGAAAAAACTACCATAATCAAGTCTCACCCCTCAACCTTTTTATCGCTCTTTCTACCTAAAATCCCACTGATATTTAGGAATCATTGTGGCCAGAGATTTAGAAAATGAAAAGCCGAAGTTGGCAGAAGATTTTACCGTCCCTTACATGGCGTATCTGAAGTCCAGCCCAGAGCCGTGTGTGGGGTGTCTCATTCACCCAGAGTGGGTGTTGACAGCTGCTCACTGCCCGGTGCCGTAAGTATCCTGCTCCTCACAACCCCTTAGCGTAGGTATCTCTCTGCTCACACCCCCTTACTGTAAGTATCCTGATACTCTGGGAGCTGGAAAAGGACTATTTGTTTATGTTGTTATTTATTTATTTTTGCGTGGAAGAACTGGGGTATAGACCAGCGGTGTGTGTGTGGTGGGGCTGAGGGGGAAGATTCACTAGAGACAGTGGGGAGCAGAACAGGTGGCTCCATTGAAACCCACTGCTGAGGGTGTAGCGGGGAGACAGGAGAGGTCTGCTGCGCCAGGTGGGTCAGCTCCCTGCCCGGGTATCGAACTCAGACCGAGGCGGTGACAGCGCTGAGACTTGACCCCCCCCAGGCTAACAAAGAGGGCTGGAAAAGGTCTATTTGGACAAAAGCAGGTCTGTCAGGACATCCCAACAATTTTGAGAGGCTTCCTATGGCAATTAGAAACAAAACGAAGAGGTCAGAGTCATTTCTGCCCCCTCTTTCAGGCCTGACCTTTAGTCACCTCTTCCTTGCCTTCCCCCCGGCCCTGTTTCTTCCAAAGGGATAAAATACGACTGGGAGTGTATCAACCCAGCATCATAAATAATAAAGAGCAGATTCGAAATTGCTCGCTGACCATCCCCCACCCAGCATTCAACGCACAAACTCTGGAAAACGACTTGATGCTGATAAAACTGTCCCAGGCCGCTGACGTCAGCGCGCACGTGGGAACCATCGCCATAGCCATGGAGCGCCCCGCCTTTAACGATTCCTGCTTCATCCCAACCTGGACTTGGAATGACTTCAAAAACAGTGAGTGTTGGCTCTGTGGTCTTCGTCCTGAAGAGGTTTGGGAGTCAGGAAATCGTGGGGGGTGGGGAGGGAGGTATGTCTGAAGGGAACAGCTGATGCCAGGCATGCCCTGACCATCCCCTGGTTACTGCCAGGGTCTTACACTACAACTTGAAGGTCAAGAGATAAAATCCAAAGAAACTGACACAGGGCAGTCAACGCCAACCGATGGGCAGGTAGTGATGGTGAAGCTCTAGTATATTCGCGACCAGAATTCACACCTGAATTTAAATAAGATGGAGGCCTGAGGAGTCAGCACTTTGCAGAGGTCTCCTGTGGGACGGTGGCTACTGTCTCAAGGGCAGGCAGGGTAAGTCCCCAAGCAATGAATGGTCATCAAGCAAGTAAGTGGAGAAACAGCCGCAGGTCTCTGGATTGAGAGCAAAAATAAATACTCTGACACCGAGCAAGGGCCCTAAGGAAGATGAATGTCCGCTCCCTGCAATGAATATCCCCAGGGGCTGAGGAATCTTTCCAAACAGGGACTGAAGCCAGAGTCCATGTGACCCAGAAAGGAACCTCAGACTTCATTCGTCTTCTCTTTCCCACAGTCAGCGACCCAGACATCCTGACCTGGATAAACGAATACATCCTGCCGGACCACGAGTGCCATAATAAGCTAAACCGAAAGCTGGAGGCACCCATCATGTGTGTGGGGAGACCGCTGAACATCATGTCTAAAATCAAGGTATTTCCTTTCTCTGGACAGGAAAGTAGTGAGGGGTCGATGGCGTGTGCTGGGGGGAAGCAAATAACTCCAAAGGCCCGAGTGCCTCTCCTCTCTGCCCTCCACCTTTGGGTGTATTATTAGTCCCCTTTGGAGATGGATAATGACTAAGAGCTATCTCTCTGCCCCTTTTTGTTAGTGGAAGACACTCTGGGTAGAACCATTTGTTCTCTCCAGGTTGGGTCAAGCTTGAGACCAACATGTTCAAGCTGTCACCCCGAGTCAAGTGAGCCTGCTCTTTAGCTGCCTCTGCTCTGCCCCCTCCTTGGCTGAGCTTGTTCAAGGAGGACAGAGCAGCACTGACCTCCTCGTCCTCCTTTCTGCAGGAAGTGTCCGCCTCTCCAGCCATCTGCAGCGGGCGAGTGCATGGGATCTTGTCCTGGGTCAAAGGAAGTGTCATCCTGGGCAGTGAAGGATTCTTCACCAAAGTCCCTCCCTATGCAAGATGGATACTGAAGATCATCAGTACCGACTAAGGCACCTCTGTTCCTCCTTCCCAGCATTGCAGTAGCCTCAGGAATCCAAAAGGGAAACGTTCAATTACAAAAATATGGCACTAAGAACTCACCTGTGACTCCTGCTCTCTCTGTCATATAAACTACAGGGCCGATGAGAGCAACATCTCCGTTGTTTGCTCATTCATTCCAGAGTTACCGAGCCATTAGCTATAGGATAGGCCCCACTGTGCTAAGGACACAGAAGTAAGTAAGTGTGACAAAGTCTTGACCATCCGTTTGTCCATTAGGAAACCTTGCATTATTGCTCCAATAGGAAAGACCAATTGTTCCATGAGAGTATAGAAAAAGACATCCGAGGGCAGTCAAGAGATGTCACCATAGAAGCAGTTACATGAGGGGACAATGTGATAAAATGGCACAGTGAACAGGCCAGGTCTGGAGTCTCCCACCTTTGAGGGAGGCGTGTGTGTGCAGAGCCTGAAGGCTGTGGGCTGGGTGGTTCTTGGACACTGGTCTAAGGAGGACAGAGCAGCACTCCTCTACTAGAGCGGCTCCCCTCTACTAGAGCAGAAAAATAAAATGAGATGGATAATGCCTAAGAGCCGAGCTTATCCAGACACCTACGGAAAACCTACCTCAGTTCTGCGCATCAATGCCTTTTAACTCAACAAAAAATTTTCCAGTAATCTTTGACCCACCCGCTGTCTGTCTTCTCCGGCAGCCTCATCCCTACCTCCCTCCTGTGTCCTGCTCTGACTCACTCCCCAATCCTCTTCTCCCTCTTTTCCACTTAATTTTTCTCTTTGTCTTATGCCAGACAGTCTCCTCCTCCTCCTCTAAGACAGGCCACATGTAACTTCTAAAGGCCCCCTTTTTCACTAAAGACTAAAGAATTGTCATTAGCCCTGGGCACTAAGGCACATACCTCAAATTTAAACAATTTCCTTCCATATTTTATTGTGAAAATCTTCAAAGGAGCAATAAAGGTAAAAGAATCGTATGCATACCCGCCTCCTGCATTCTCATGCTAATTATTTGTTACATGGTTGTCTTGCGTGGATGCAGCAATTGGTATTGACGTTATCATTCATTAAGGTGCATAGTTTGTTATCATCTGTTCTTCATGCTGTTCTATGGATTTGGATAAACGCATCGTGTCAGGTACCCCCATGACAGTATTCCATGGGGTAATTTCAGTTCTCTAAAAATGTGTGTGTCCCCAACACCTTTGTTCCCCACTCTGGCAATCACTGATTTTTTTTTTTTAAGATTTATTTATTTGTGCAGAACTGGGGTACAGGCCAGAGGCTCAGGGGCGGTGAGAGGCTTCACCAGAGACAGAGTGGGAAGCAGAACAGGCAGATCGACGAAGTACACTGCTGAGGGGAGCAGCGGGCGGGTCAGGAGAGGTCTGCCACGCCATGTGGTCACCTCCGGGGCAGGCGGGAATCGAACTCATGCGGAAGCGGCTTTAGATTCTCAGTGCTGTGCTTTAACCCGCTGAGCCACCAGGGAGGGCCCAATCACTGATATTTTTAACCATAGCTTGATTTCCAAAGACTGGAATCATGCAATATGCATTTTTTAAGTTGCCTACTACCACTTCGTAATATACATTTAAGTTTCCTCCAAGGCTTTTTGTCACTTGGTAGCTCTTTTTTTTTTTTTTTTAATCATTGAATAATATTCCTCCGCATGGATGCACCATGCTTTGTTTATCCATTCACACATGGATGGACATGTGGGTCGCATAAAGTTTTATGCATAAAGATTTAAATATTATGTGTAAATTTTTCTGTGGACATCAGTTTTCCAACTCATTGGGGTAAATAGCTAGGAATGCATTTTCTGATCACATAGTGAGAGAACGTTTGTCTTTACAAGAAGCCTCTAAACTCCCAAATTGCTGCACTGCTGTGTTTTCCCACCAATAACTGAGGGTTCTCGTTGCTATTCCACATCCTTGTCAGCACTTGGGGTTGGATTTCACCATTCTACTGAGTGTGTAGAGGCATCTCATCATTGCTTTCATTTGTAATTTTAATGACACGCAGAGATTCTTTTCCTGTGCTATCTGCCTCCTGACCTCTCCTCTGTTAGGATGAACTAAATTACGCCCTCCCCAAATTGGTATGTTGAGGCTCTAAGCTCCAGTGTGACTGCATTTCAGATGAGGAAGTCATTAAGAGGAAATGTGGAAATGTGGCCCAAAGGTGGGACATTGACCTGACAGGACTAGTGTCCTATAGAAAGAGACACCCCAGAACTTGCTCTTTCTCTATGTCACTGCAGTGGCAAAGCCGTGTGGGCACACAGCGAGGAGGCTGCTGTCTGCCAGCCGTGGGGCAGGCTCGCACCTGGCATTTGAACTTGCAGAACCCTCAGTGATGGCCTTCGAGCTTCCAGAAGAGAGAGGAAATAAAGGCTGTTGCTAAAGTCTGTTGGCATTTCCTCATGATAGCCGAGCAGGCCCCTGTATTTGGTCAGGTGTCTATTCACATCTTTTCCCACTTGTATTTATTTACTTTGGATGTAAAATGATTTGCTTTTTAATGTTTTCTCTATTTTCATTGAGCTGACATTGGTTCTTAATACGTGTATGACAGAGCCACAGGCTCACACTCCTTCAAGTGTGAGCGCCCAGCACACTGACCACCAGGACCCCATACTGCCCCACCACAGCCCACTGGCCTCTCCCTGTCTTGCGCCCACTCCCACCGGCCCCTCTGGTAGTTGCAATTCACAGATGTCGAGGGTTTGTTTTAGTTTATCTTGTCTGTCCCTTCCTTTATCTTCCACATGAGTGAAATCATCTGGTATCGACTATTATCTTTCTAACCTGTTTCATTTAGCATAACTCTCTCTCTCTCGCTTCATGTTGTCACAAATGACAAGAATTTATTCTCTCTCTCTCTCTCTCTCTCTCTCTCACACACACACACACACACACACACACCTCGCACGTTCTAATTCCACTCATCTGTCCTTGGGCACGTGGGCCTTGTCCACAGCTTGGTATTGTAAAGAGTGCTACAATGAACATGAGTGCAGGTAGCTTTTCGAATTAGTGCTTTAGTATTCCTGAGATTGATACCTAGGAGTGGAAGAGCTGGGTCATAAGCAAATCTATTTCTAATAGTTTGTGAAGCCTCCATGTTGTTTTCTACAGGAGCTGGGCCACCTCCAATCCCAACCACAGTGTTACTTTTTGGCCACATCCTTCCCAGCACTTGTTGTTACGGATCTTTTTCATATGTGACCCACTTTTTAACTCGGTTCTCTACTGTGGTTGAGTGCTATGATTTCCCAGTACATTTTGGGTATAAACCCTTGATGGAGAAGTATGCTACCTGATGTGTGTGCAAACTTTTCCACCCAGCCCATGACATACCTTGATTTTCAGTTCTAAATACTTCATCTCACTACTGCCTGCCTGTGTGCCTATCAGTCCATTTATTCCATAAGCTCCTGAGGGCAGGACATGGTCTTCTACTTTTCCATCCTCAGCATGGAACAGACAGCCTAGCTCAGTCACACATACTATGAATTACTGATCAAATGGTTAAATGAATAGAAGGATGAGTAATGACATGAAAGAAATGGCATTTGGCCGAGGGGGTCATGGTCAACACCAGAGGTCTGGATGGTCAGTGCCACACAAATGAGGGAACAGCATCACATAGGCGGGAGGGGTCAGTGTCTTTCATGGGTTCAGAGACAGACATGGCCACAGAGTTTGACAAAGTGGGGTGTGGAGGAGGTGGCTGTGGGAGATCTCCGAGTGCCAGTGTGCTCAGGTTGGCTGCCTTCTTCCTTCACTTCCAGACCCAATCTTAACTCTCAGGGACCAGGTCACCAGTATCTGTTCTTGTCCCTCCAACTCCTGAAAACCGATTAGTAGACATCATTTCTGGAACTGCAGCCTGTCACTGGAAGAATTCAGGGCCCCTCGCTTCATCTTATATGGACACATGACCTTCTGATCTGGAAGCTCCTCCTTACCTAGGCCTTTTCCCTCCATCCTTTCCTTTTCCAGACACCCTGAGCTGAACCTCATCTTTTGAGAAGACTTTTGACATCATTATGAAGTTTATCTTTTTCTGGATGCTTTTGAATTTGTCTGGTGAGTGCACAATTTTCTCTTTATTTGCCCAAGAGAAATCCCCAGCAAAACATGTAAAATGATAAAGATACCGATGTCCCTCTGGTGGTGCAAGGGGTTAAGTCTGAGCACTATGAAGCTCTTCATAGCCACTGCAGCATGAGTTCGATCCCTTGCCAGGGAGCTGACCCATATGGCACAGCAGACCTCTCCTGTCTTGCTGGATCACATCCAGGGCTGGGGATGGACTCATGCTGCAGTGGCTTTAGCTTCTTATTTATTTATTTTTATGATTTATTTATTTGTGCATATAGAACTGAGGTACAGGCCAGAGGCTCAGGGGTGGCAAGAGGCTTCACCAGAGACAGAGTGGGGAGCAGAACAGGCAGATCGATGAAGTACACTGCTGAGGGGAGCAGTGGGCGGGTCAGGAGAGGTCTGCCGCGCCATGTGGTCACCTCCAGGGCAGGCAGGAATCGAACTCATGTGGAAGTGGCTTTAGCTTCTCAGTGTTGTGCTTTAACCCACTGCACCACCAGGGAGAGCCACGTTTGGTTTGTTCTTTAAGTTACTTATGTGATGTTGCCTTATATCATTCTGCCTTAGAGAGAAAGATCTATGGTTGGATATAGCATTCTAAAAATGGTAAAACTAATAAATCCCCAGGGTGTGATTTAACATATGTCCTCTGAATTGCAGAATGTATTTAAGTAAGCTTATACTTTATGTGAAAAAATATTTATTGATATCTAAAAGGGAGAACACTTTCTCTTTTGAAAGGGGTATATTTCTATTTTTTTCATGTTTTAGAATAAAATAAACTAGTGTAAAAATTCAACTAACATATAAAATTCCTGGAAAAAATTTCCTAGAGGTGGGCTTGGAGATGATTCATCACTTAGGCCTTTTAGTCATACCTATCATGAACTCATGTTAATCAAGCTTAAACAAATATTCAACTCAGTGAGTATACAAAAGGCAGAGGAAACTTGCGAAGCTATTAGTAAATTTCCTTTATTTTTTCTCATAATCCTTAAAAAAAAATCTCAGAAGTTCCTCTCTCTCTTTCAGTTGCTCTGGCCTTTGATCCAGATATTACAAAAGGTGTCTCTACGCCCTACTTGGTCTACTTGAAATCTGATTACTTGCCCTGTGCTGGGGTCCTCATCCACCCCCTTTGGGTGCTCACAGCTGCCCACTGCAACTTACCGTGAGTGATTGGTCCTCCAGGTCTTGTCAGCGTTTGGTTCCTAGGTTGGGCACAGCGCCAACCCCTGCTTGCGGTCACTGCCCAAGTCTATGGCATTAGGGAGGCCTCTGGGCTTGTGAAGAAGTGCAGAGCCGGGTGGGGGGGAGATGGGTCAGGGCCCGCAGCATGGGGAGTATCTCTGTCAGCCCACTCACACAGCTCCAAAACCTTGCAGGAAGCTTTCAGTGATGCTAGGAGTTTCAAACCCATCAAATCCCAAAGAAAAACATGTCCAGGAGGTGGGCTTTGAGAAGATGATTCATCACTCAGGCTTCTTAATCACGGCTATCTATCATGACCTCATGTTAATCAAGCTTAAACAAAATATCCAACTCAATGAGTATACAGCTCTGGTCAGCCTGCCTCGTGAACCGGCCCCAGAAAACAGCACGTGCATGGTCTCTACCTGGGCCTACAGCATCTGCGAAATCAGTGAGTCCAAGCTCAGTCTGCGCTCAGAAATGGACGCGCGTCTCCCCTTTGCTCTCTGGACTCCCGAAGTCCTTCCCGATGAGACTTGATTCGTCCTTCTTACCCCGCTTCCCTCCCCTGCACTCCCTGGAGGGTATCTTTGGGTTTTCCCTGCTCTGTCTCCCCCTTAGCCTTGCTTTTACAGACAGAAGCTCATGGAAGATACTTGTATTCCAGTTCTAGTTTTCTATGTGACAGCAAGGGCCTTTACCTTTGGTACCTCTGGGTTCTCACCTCCTAAATGGGGCACATGTTAAACTGGATGTTGTCAAGCTCTTCCAGGTAACAAAGAAACATAAAACTTTAAAATATGAAGTAAACACAATACATTAAACCTAAATAAGCATATACCACTGTATTAAATCATAAAGAACTTTCAAACACAAGATGGTGACTCACATAAATCAAAGCTTGAGCAAAATATCTCTGAAATAAGAGCGCATGCTGAATGTTCTCTTATTTCTTCAGCAAAGTGAAAAACTGAATTTTCACAAGGGGAAATCTTCTGTATAAAAATCAGAAACTACTGAACCAAATGTTCTACCTAATCTCCTTCTCTGGCACATGTTTCAGAGTCTATGAAAAAAGCTTGGGGAAAATTAAGACAGCTTTCTCTTTTTTAAATTGCATCCCTATCTGCCCATGATCTGATCCCAAAATAGTCATGCGAATTCTATTGTAGATATTAATCAAGACAGTAGGTGCATTAGCAAAAATGAGCCATGTAAAGGCCTTTGAGGAAGATTTACTGATATAACTTTACTCGTGAGTAAATTTACTTGAGTACACCTTATACACACCACGCACTAAATGCCAGAGTCTGGGAGGAGCTTCAGAAAGCAAGCTCTCACCCACGCCCCGTTCCGTTTTTTGTCCACTATTCCTCACTTTATGGGAGCTAGAGCGGTTCTCGCTGACCTTTTCCCTCATTCCCATGCTCAAAGCTTTTTAAACTGCCCGTTGGTAAATGTCTTCAGAACTTCGCCTTCATATACATTTTCTTGGCTACATCACAAGTAGAATTTTTTTAGCTTTTTAAAGAAATGATGGACAAACACATCATCTCTAAGGTGCATGACCGGAAGTTCGACACAGGTGTCCATTATGAAATGATGTCACCAGTGATCAACCTGTGCATCCCCTCACGTGCGGACCTTCCGTGTGGAGGTGGGGTTGAGAACACCTACGAGTTACTCTTAGGAAATTTCAATATGATGAACCAGGCTGTATATGAAATCCTCAGAGCTTATTCATCTTGTACCTGAAAACTTCGTATTGGATGAACATACTTCCCGCCCCTCCCCACAGCCGCCATTTTCTACTTCCTGTCTCTCCCCCATCAACCAACTGTATAGAGTCCACACATGTGAGGCCACGCTGCCCTTGTCGGTCAGCATCTAGAACCTTCCCTCTGTCCCTCTGTCAGCATCTAGAACTTTCCCTCTGTCCCTCTGGTGAGCTTCTAGAACCTTCCCTCTGTCCCTCTGGTGAGCGGTGTGTTTGCTTCATCTGGGCTATTCCACTGAGTCAAAAATGTTTGTCCACCAAAGCCATCTTGTTTTGCTCGGGCTCATGAGGTAACTAAGCCTTTCCCAAAAGAAATGTTGAGCCAGGCAATTGTTGCTGAGCTAGAAAATAAAGCGGAGATTGTCGCATATTTTCTTTTTAAGAATTTACCTGTCTTTCTCAAGGACGCGGCAACAAACACACCCTATTAGAAACAAGGATCTTAAAAATAAAATACGTCTTCCCAAAGAAGACGCCTTAGCAAGAAATCCTCACACACGAACAGGGACTGTATTTTCATTCTCTCATTATGCTGCAGGTAGGGAAGGACTTTGCTCTAACTGACACAGCTCACAGCACTTGGGAGCCTCTGAAATAAAGGAAATATCTTGATTTTTAGGATTTAGTTTTACGGGCTTAAGAAAATTATTTTTTGAGCATTTTTTAACAGATAATTGGTTTCTTGATTTGACAAACCAAAACTAGGCTTTGAACACTCTAAAGTCCTTCAGACTAAAAATAGAAGGAACATGTCTCAGATACAGAGGTGTGACTAAGCTGATCCTGAAATCCTGGAGTTCTAATGCACAGTAAGTGAACACTCACAATACTTTATGACCAAACTTGGTGGAAGACTAGAGCTTAATTATTCCTTCTGATAGTGATGTGATGTGACAGACGTGACCACAATAGCCAGCAACGGTCACGCCCAGTGTATTTGATCAACACGTGGTGACCTTACATTTCCATGACATTGGATGGCAAATACTTTAAAATCAAATAAATTGTACACACAAGGCAGTGATGAATGTTAAATCTGGCACAAATACTAATATGAACAGTCAATAGAGGAATAAACAGAGCAGATAAATCTCCCATCTCGAAGGACACACTTCAGTGCTTAAATTTCCAGAAAACTTTAATTTGCTTCACTTCATTGCAGAGCGGTGTCGTATTTACATATAACTTCTCAGAATTGCATCTCTTGTAGAGGGAAATGGACACTTGTCTCCTGAGAATTTGTACCTCTAATCATTTCCTCTTGTTCTAACTGTTCCTGTCCTTATTTATTTCTTTATTTGTTTATTCATTTATTTATTTATCTATTTATTTATTTTGGTGTTTTCTACCTGTAGGGAAAAAAAAAAAGTGTGTGCATGTGTTGAAAATAGGGGGAAGGAAAAAGAAGTCTTGGTATCTGATGATTCCTTAGGAGCATCTGTGTCTCTTTCTGCTCTAGCCAAGGATCCTACCTCACTGCAACATGTGAACATCTCCGTCATCTCCCCGAATCAGTGCCGTGACGCCTACAAAACCCTCAGCATCAAGGACAATGTGATGTGCGTGGGCATCGTGCCCGGCAGGAGGCAACCCTGCAAGGTGGGTTTCTCTCCACGCCTCAGTCTCCCCGCTCCTCTCCTGTGTCCTGTGTCAGAAAAAAAATAACCCAGTTTCCATCCTCTGGCAGGAAGTCACGGCGGCGCCCGCAGTCTGCAACGGGACGCTTCAGGGCATCCTGGCCATGGCGGATGGGTGTGTTTTGAGAGCAGATGTGGGCATCTACACCAGAGTCCTGAACTACGTGTCCTGGATTGAAAACGTGATCCAAAATAACTGAGCTTTGGCGCAGGGATTCTGGGCTGGGCAGTGCAGCCTGTCCCCAGTGCAGCCTCAGAATTAACTCTAACAGGCTCCTTGGGTGGCACCACAGATGTGTCTCGCTTCTGCTCGACAGTGGGGGGCTTTTCACACTGGTGCTGTGACTCTGCACGAGAACCTTCTTGCTGTTGATGGATGCAAGCCCAGCACCCCTTAGGCAGTGCTCACAGGCGGAGGGCTGCGTCTGGTGACCATTTGACCTCTGCCTTACTGGAAGAGGGGCTACGTGATAGCATGTGGGGCGGCAGCACCCCAAATGCTGCTGTCAGTGACACTTGCCAATGGGTTCAAGGCGTCTCAAGGAGCGGGCTAAAGAGGACCGCGGGAGACAGATGGGGACACACCATTTGCGTTCTCCGGGTCCCCACAGGCTTGATTCGGGTCAGTCATTTTGCAGGATCCTGGGGAAAGACTCGAGCTGTGGAGGGTCCCCGCAGAAGCCCACGGGCCATGATGGGGCCGATGAGCAGGAGCCCAGCCCACGGCTCCCCCACAGGGTTTGCCTTTTCTGGGTGTCGGGTGTCACCAGAAGCGCGTTCCCCCCTCGGTGTCACGCTTGCGTTTTCCTTCTCTTTATGTCTGCAGCTCTGTTAGCACCTGAAAGTCACAACCGACAGCTGCACCAAACAACAAAGACGAGATTTAGTGAGTTGTTTGCCCGTGGCTGTCAGTTACCTGCCTTCCAGCAAATCCGTGCAAAGCCCCACAAGAGACGCTCGGTCCATCTCGCTCACAGGCCCCTGGCCCGGCTGTTGCATTAGCGCTGAGCGTCTGGGTGCTCGCCGGGGCAGCTTTGCTGACCGGAGGCCCTAGGGCCCCTCCCGCCTCAGTCCAGAGCTCCCAGGAGACGTGCCAGGTGCATCCCTGCTCACCTGGACGCCAGCTCCCCACTCACACCACTGCCAGACTGCGATGCCGGCGCCTTCCTAGGCCCGCACAGGGTAGGGGCCGAACGATGCTCTGCGATGGTCAGCTCGCGGAGCTGGCCGCAGGCGCCCTGTAGCCTCGCTGGCGCCACAGCAGACGCAGGCGCATTGCTAGAGCCGCTTGCGTGGAAGGAGAGAGAGGAGGTGATGGACGGGAGGTGGAAGGAAAGGAGAAGAGTCAAAGGCGGGGCCCTGCGAGTGCCTGGGTCTCCCCAGGCTCGCGGATCCCAGAACCGTAGGCAGATGGCGCCCCCTGGTGGAGCAAACGCTGCTTCCCATACAGGCCCGGAGAGAGCGGGCCTGCTCTGAAGTCTCTGGGCTCCCCCATTTGCACCCCAGGCCCCTGCTCCTTTGCTCTGCATAAAGAAGGTCGGATCTAGGAGCAGAGGGCCCCGGGCCAGTAGTCCCCACCCTGCCCCCCCGCAGAGTCGCCTGCCTCCAGCACCCCTGAGTCCTGGCAGTTGCCTGCCTTGAAGCCTTGTACTGCGCATCCCTCCAGGCTACCTTAGTAAAAAATAATTTACTATAGAAAGATCCATTTGGGGTTAGGGTGTGAGGAGGTTAGTGGGGGTGAGTGCTGAGGCTGGGAGCTCAGAGACAGCGTGGTCCTTCTTTGTCCTAGGGGCGTGAGATGTCCTTCTCCCCTCCCCCCGCGCTCCTAGCATCTCTCCACGTTTCTCCCCAGGTCCCTGTGGGCTTTGGTGCGGTCATTAAAGTGCATCCGAGTCTCCTCCTGGTTGGAGGTCGAAACCCGAGGGAGCCTGCCCTTGAGCCGGCATGTGGAGCTGAAGCTTCCCCCCTGGACTGTGTTAATGCTGGACGCAGCCCTTGGAGCGGGTACAGGTGCCCAGGCCCTTTACAGGCACAGAGAGGAAGGTCCTGGGAGATTCCGTCTTTTCCCAAGTTCACGAGTGCAGAGCTCAGGGCTGTGGCTAAGCCCGCAGGAGACCATGGGGTGGGGGTGGGGTGCTGCACCCCCATGCAGGGGGCTCCCTGAGGGGCAGTGGGAGGGCAGCAGGCGGCTGCTCCTAGTGACCAGCCCAGGAGGCGGGGCTGGCTGGGGGAGCAGCTTTGGGGCTGTGGGCAGAGGAGGAGGGGCTGGCTGTGGCTGGCAGCCAGGGGGTTTTTATCCATGTGCCCAAGGAGGGCATGTCACTGTGTCTCTGCTGCAGGTGCAGAACAGGGTCCTGCTCTGGGTCACGTTGGCCATGAGCAGCTTCAGTTCGGTGGTGCTGACACGCATGACCCTGTAGTCTGCCCCAGGGCGGGTGACAGGCTGCTCCTCCTTAGGATTCCGGAGGGAGGCCAGCAGCTCCAGTTGCCCCTGAAGGTCCTGCTGGTACCAGCTCATCCAGGGGTACTGCATGTCCTTCAGGGTGCAGTTCAGGGTCTTGGCCTGTCTGCGCTGCACCAAGACCCACCTGGGCGTTTGCTCCACCAAGTTCCCAGCGGCGCCTGAAACACAAAGTTTGCAGAGTAAAGGCCACAGAGAAGACCCCCGTCTCCACGCAGCAGCTCTCTCTCCCTCCCTCACCTCTCAGCTTTCTCTGCCTGGCTCTGACCTGTCCTCATGGCCGCCAGGAGCATGCAGCCCCACAGCACAGGAAACATGGCCATTTCCCCCCCAAGGGCCCCACGGCAGGACAGAGCAGCAGAGCTGTGGAAGTGGCCTGCAGGCAGAAGAGCAGGGCCCCGCCTGTCACTGGACAGTGGGTGGCCCACCCTCTCTGGGCCCGGCACTCAAAAGGGCGTGGCTTGCTAGAAAGCTCAGCGATTTATCTCATCTTCTCACTGAGTCTCCAAGCACTTTCCTGTTTCCTGTGGGTTTGTTGGTGAAATGAGCACAGCTGTCCCCCAGCAACCCCAGCAAGCTTTGCGTCTCCTGTCCCCTTCCTGGTGCTGTGGGGCAGCGGGTGCAGATGCCAACACCCGTCTCCATTCCCCACGTTGGCTGCGGACACACTAAATGTAAGAAGCACAATTTTCCCAGCAGGAAACTAGGGAAGAGACTCCCCCACCCCTACTTTCTCAGAGCGCTTACTTTAGTAATACGGTCAGTTCCTTTGTCTTCGGAAGGTGCGTCAGTCCTAACAACCTTAAATAACCTGTGTCATGGCAAAGACCTGGGATTCTTTGGCAATGGCCTGCAACATCTCTTTGATAGTGTCATCCAGGACGAGCCCGCCTCCCGGCTTCTATGGGAGAGGAGGAGCCTCACCTGGGAATTTAACTCAGAGCAACTGCCCAAGTTGCAAGTGATTTCTTGTCACAAAGATGTCACAGGCTTCACTTTTTCCTGTGGGTAGAGAGGATTAGGATACACTGTGTGTGACAAACGTCTCTCAGGTCCTCTCCCTGGAGAGCCTGCCTTTGTTATCCTGAGGACGGTGTGTAGTTGCTGCCGGTCCAAGCTCGAGCACTCTGCTGTCTCTGAACAGAAGGCTGCAAGGTGCATTGTTCTGACTCAGCGCGTGCTCAATAGTAAAACTGTTCTTTCTCTGCATCCCTTGACAAAAGCTTTTCCAAGTTGGGAAGAGATGGGTAGGGGAGATTTTATTTTCTCTTGTAATTTAACTTGTAATTTATTTGTGCTGTTGGTTCACAACACTGTGTATGATTTAGGGGTACAGGTTCACAGCCCTTCAGATGTGTGATACCACCCCACCCCACACCAAGGCACCCTTATTCTCTAGCACAGCCCCTTAGGCCTCCTCCCTTTGCTCCTGACCCCCCACTTTTGCCTTCCTGTAGCCCCAATTCCTTTAATAATATTTTCCCAGCAGCTCATGGGGCTGTTACTACCGAACAGGCTGGCTGGACTCATTTTCTTCCCCTGCAAGGTGGAGCTAATCATGAATGCTACTGATGGAATAAATGGATTAATACATGAGAAAGCCTTAGACTAGAGCTTGGCACAGACTGAACACTCAGCAAGAGCTGACTTCTTCAAGGGTGAAGGTCAAGTTCAGTTAAAATGGCATAGCATTAACTGTAGTTTTTAGTCTTTCTTTAATTGCTTAACACCTAGTACTCACCTGAGGTCAAGTTCTCAAACAACCTTTTCAGAATGTTGAGGAAACATTCGCTCACAACAACACATGGGTTCGCGCCACTCCATCCACCCCACATCCCGCCACCCACCTTCCGCCACCAACCACGCTCCCTCTGCCCGCCCCTCCCCCCCATATGGCATCTGTCATCAGAGTATGGGTTGGTTTGTGTTTTCACCCCAAGTACATGAGATCATACAGCATTAGTCTTTCTCCTCTGGTTTCTGTCACTGGACATCATCCACCCAGAGTCTAACACTGGTAAGAGGCCTGCTTTTCCCGCAAATTTCGGGAAGCAGTGGTCTGGGAAACCGGTCAGCCTCTTCCTTCCAGATGGCCGCCCGGCTCCTCACCTTCTCAGCTGTGCCTGGGGTTGGGGGCTAGAGACGCCTCCTTCTGCTCTTATTCACCCAGGTGCTAAGGTCCACTGGGCAGCTGCTGACCACCTCAGCTGGCCCCGCAGTTTCATGACTCAGTGGTTACAGAGAATCTGCAGGCGCCCTGGGAGCTGCCCATGTGGAGAGGCGCGTTCCCGGCTCGGTGCTGGGAGGCCCTGTGGACACCCGCCTCACTCATCTTCAGACTGTCCACTGCTAATGGAGGAGGACACTTGAGTCACTGGGGTGACTTCCGGCTCTGGGCCAGCTGAGTCAGTCGCTGTGCAGAAAAGAACTCGGGGGGCCGATGGCTCTGGGCCTCCCTCTGGGAAGCAGTGCGCAGTGGGGAGCTGGGGACCAGTAGGTACTCCCGCCAGCTCACCCCGCACTGCTTCCATTTCCTCATCTAAAACTAATGTTTTTAGTGGATGGAGGTTTTTGACAGTGAGGTGAGTGTAAATCTCCTCTTTACCCCAGGCTCCAGTGGCCCCCAACCCTGGCACTGCACAGCCTGGCAAGTGGGCAGTTGGGCTGAGCCTGGGGGGGTGGGGTTGGGCTGAGCCTCAGGGGACAAAAGGTGACCTCCCCTCCCCGGAGGCAGCTGGGGTTGGCAGCAAGCAGGAAGCATTCAAAGGCAGACACAGCTTCATTCCTGGGGTCCCCTCCTCCCTTCCCCTTTCCTCCCTACCTCCCCCCCCCAACCAAAGCTCCCAATCTGTACATCTGGAAAGTTGATTCACCTCTACCCAGCCCTTCCGGGGCTTAGCAGCAAAGATGCCTCCAGGAGATAGAAATCACAGCCACCCCCCTCCATGGGTTAGCAGGCAGCACTCAAGCTGGCC